CAACCTCAAACTCCTGGGCTCAAGGGATCCTCCTGCCTCAGCCTCCCGAGTAGCTGGGACTACAGGCATGTGCCACCATGCCCGGCTAATTTTTTCTACATATATTTTTAGTTGTCCAGATAATTTCTTTCTGTTTTTTTTTTTTAGTAGAGACAGGTCTCGCTCTTGCTCAAGCTGGTCTCATACTCCTGAGGTCAAACGATCCTCCCGCCTCGGTCTCCCAGAGTGCTGAGATTACAGGCGTGAGCCACCATGCCCGGCCCAAGATTATTTTTTGCATTTAGTTCAATGTATAATCCACAAAAATGTTTTATCAGTCAAAACCTACAAAGGATGTATAAAGGATGTAAAATACGTAAAGGACATATTTTAGAAAATCAATTAGTAAGAAAAACTTACTGAAGATGAGAAAACCTCTTGGGTATCAAAACTATTTTTGTTTAAAAAAAATATCAACTTGAACCCGATTCTAGGCAAGAAGACATGTACAAAGAACTTTGAAGCAATATGGAATAATTGTTTTTTGAATATTTCCCTAAACCATGTCCAGTTTTCCTTTTCAACGGCATTTTACTTGCAGTTTTATACAAGTGTGTCAAGCTAAAGGGAAAAATGAATTTGGCCCGACTGTGGATTTGGACGTTTGAAATGTCCGTTTACTCTGGCATTTCCTAGCAAAGTAGGGTTTGTTATGTAATAAGCCGTGATTTAGGCCTGACTCTACCTACGTTCATGACTGGCATCCTTACAGCAATTTGGTCTATTAAAGGGAGGAACTGGTTCATAAAGATAATCAAAAATAATACAGACTTGGATTTCTTTCCTTCCTTCCAGGACAATATCATATTATTCTTGAGAGGCTGTAAAGAGCTCGGCCTTAAAGAATCTCAACTTTTTGACCCGAGCGACCTCCAGGATACGTCCAACAGGGCAACAGTCAAGTAAGTAATGCACGATTTATGTTTAAGGGAAACTCCTTCGTGGTTCGATTTGCAGTTTCACGATGATGCTGTAAGTTCTGAGAGGCAGAGAATTCGGTGTGCCTAATAAAATAAAAATGCAAAGGCGAAAAATCAGGCTTTCAAAACAACGTGTGTTGGCTTTTCCTCTGCACACAGCTTTTCATTCTGATCAAACAGAATTTTTTAAAAGAGTTAGAATTTTGAAGAATGTCAACTGAAGCTTAACAGAGAGGCCGGAGAGAAGTAGGCACCGAGTCTGTGTGTGTTGGACAAAAACCTTGTATTGGCTTCCACTGGGCAGCTAAACAGGTGCTTGGAAGACAGCAAACTGGGTAAGCAGATCTGAACTCGGTTACGCAAGGAAGGCATTAGATTATGGAGAAATCTCTTCTTGGTTTACATTTGTAACTTTTTTCTCCTATGTGTCAGTGATCGAGTTCTCGACGCTGTGTCATAGGTCCTTTGGCTGTCTGTCGTTCAGTAATCCACTCAGGGAGCCATGTCTGGGACCAGAGAATTCTTGGAGCAGAATGTCACGGTAAACGAAAAGGCAACATATACTTTATGTAAAGAAATAGCTCGCAACCAGGGTAATGAGAAGAGTTGTCCTTATGGGACGGCGGCGTAGACGATCAGCTCATTGTAGTTTAGAAATTCTCTAGACCCTGCTGGTTTCATATAAAACATTTCCACTTCAGTTAAATAATATAATAAGCTTAATGACACAGATAGGGTCTGTGATTGGCATCTTTTCTCCTTTTGGTTACTTTTGGGGCATTTTATCATGGAAGAATAGTAAAGGGAGAGAAGCCAAAATTCAGAGCTGTTCATTTTATACTATTTGCTGATCTTGATTTAAAAAAAAAAAAAAAATGGGGAAAGTTAGGCACCAAGTAGAAACTATTGAATGAAATAAAGTTTGCAGTTGATATTGGGTTTTGTGATTCATGCCTGGGAGTAAGCAAGAGTCAGACGGGACCGATCATCTAAAGTCCCTTCTCTGTTGTCAGCGTGCCATTCTTCAGTATTTCTCACGGAAACATCTTAGTGAAGTGAAAAAATAACGGAATAAAAATTAGGATCGTCAAATATGGAAACCACCATAAACCTCATCTGAGTCATCACACGCCCCATTTGTTACTGTACCTAGATCCAGCCTCTACAAATCATCGTTCATTTCAGGAGATTGTTTTAGATTCTGCCTCGCCTCACATGCATAGTTTCACCTGGGTGCAAGTGACCGGGAACAACAGCAACCGTGCACGGTTGTAGGTAATAACCAGTCACACACACACTGCTCGGAGGGTGAAAGAAAGTTCAGTTCAACAGCGTCTACAGCTGCATTCATTTTTTTTTTTTTAGACACTTTACATCAATATGTCACTAAACCAGGAGAATTCTGAGACTGGTTTTAGAAGTTCAGGACTCATATCACCTTTATAGCCCATCTACAAAAAACTGGGCATCAGGAAATGGGGGTCTAGTCCTAGGTCTGCCACTCTCTAGATCGGTAGCCCTGGTTAAATTGCCTTGAGTCAGTAGAGCCCTAACCTGGAACTGGACAGACTGCTCTCTCAGGTCAAGCTTGCTCAGTGCACATCTGGGGAGACGGGACGACCAGCGTCTAAAGAAAGAGACTTTAACTGAAAGGTGCAAAAAGCAACCTACAGGGGGAAAAGTCATATTGACAAGTGACGCGTGGACATAGTCCCTTCTTAGTTACTTGCCATCTTCTTCCTTCCTGTCCGTCTGACCTTTCCTTCTTCTTTTCTGTCTCTGTCTCCTCCCTCCGCCTGCTTCTCTTCTTTCTCCTGCGTTTCCATCTATCTCCTCTTTTGCATTTCTTTTCCTCATTTTCTTCCCTTTTTAATTTTTCCTTCGCTTAAACACTCTTGCTTTCTTTAGGCGATCCTCTCCCCACCACATTCCTCTGGGACCCTGGCATTTTACATCCATTCATCCATTGCATAAATATTTGCTGAGCGACTCCTGGGTGTCACATCATCTTTGTCACCAGAGAAAGGGAAGGAACAAGACAGCCAAGGTTCCCTGCTCTGTGTAGTTCACACTCTGGCGCCAAGAGATGAGAAGGACGTAGGTACGAAGACGATGATTGCTGGAAGTGAAAAGTGCCGAGAAGAAAACAACGTAGAGTGATGTGACGAACAGTGGCCAGTTCAGAGGTGGGGAAGGGTGGCCCTTTCCGAAGTGTTGGTGTTTCAGGGAAGGCCTGGGGTCCGAGACGTGAGACCAGACTGTTGGGAAGACCTGTGGGCATGCAGGGCAGAGAAGGAGCAGGTGCAAAGGCTGGCGAAGAGGAACCAGCTTCGTGTGTAAAAGAAAAAGAAAAGCCACCGCGTAGGTGTGGTTGAAGGGTCACGCGTGTGACGAGTGTGGTGGGAGGGGCGGTTCCCCAGCAGGGTAGGATGTTGCAGCTGGAATCGGCATGGAGAAAAATTATCTCCCTGCATGAATAGTTAGAAGAACA